TGGAATAAGCTCAGACTCAGAAACTTGATCTTAACCAAAAGCCAAGAACTTATGTCTTCTTGAAGCCTCTCACACATGGGAGATGGCTGCTGGCACAGTGAACAGTTTCACTTGAGTAAATTGCTTTGGAAACAACAATAAATAAGAAAAAGACACTTTCTCCAAACACAGGCAGCTCAAAGACACTGGGGTTGGGCTTTAGATTGTGGATCTGGGCCATGGAGGACAAACTCAGCCCTTACCGATCCAGTCTGGTGGTTCAAACCTGAAATCACAGCTCTTCAGGAGCCTGAGGCAGGTGAATCACCAGTTCAAGGCTATCCTAGGAAATTGAATGTTGAAGCCCTTGGGCCCTGATCAATACGCCACTCATCAAAGGTTTGGTGTCGTGGTTGTTTGCTGTTATTTTGTGCTGGCTAACTCTCCTGTAAATGGGAAGCCTGTAGAACGGAAGATGAACCAGTGTAGAGAGTAGACACCCAGGGACGGGGGTGAGCTTGAGTGACACTCCCAAGACTTGATCCTTGTGGACAGCAAGCGAGTTGGTCAAGAGTTGCCAAATGTCAAGGAGAAGGAAGGAGTCAGAAAAACAGAAATGATGCAAAGGGTCAGGTCCAGTGGTGTATGTCAGTAATCACCGTGGTTCAGGAAGTTGAGGCAGGAGAATCATGAGTTTAAGTCCCGTCATCTTGGCTACAGAGTGAGTTCAAGACCAGACCAACTAACTTGCTGAGACTTGTCTCAGAATAAAACCTGAAACATAGGCTGCGATGTCAGAATAAAACGATGAAACATAAGTGGTCAGTGGTAGAGTGCTTGGCTAGTGCCTGGCTGGGCCCTAGAATCCCTAGCACTAGGGCAGGGGTGGGTGTGGGGTGGGGAATGGATCACAGCTTTGCCTTGCCTGTGGCAACCTCACCTGGGATCCACTGAGGCAGCATTAGGGCCACGTGTGCTCATCCTAACGTTCAGAGTAGAAGCCTGGTCTTTATGGTCCACCATGATCCTTACCCCTAAGGCAGAGGTCAGTTGAGAGCATGGCTCGTGTTCCAGCTTGGGCCTTTGACTTGAGTCTCCACTCTGGTGCTTGAGATCAGAACCCTGTGGCAGGGAAGGACCCATGAGTATCCCATGGTTAAGGGTTCAGGTGTTCCCTTCCAGGCACCTGGGACCCAGAGAGGGCTGTTAAGATCTTCATCCCCTCAATTCCCATTGGGCACTGAGGGAGACACAACACACCGTGTGGTTTGTATCCTTGCAAACATCCTTGAAGATAGCCCAAAGATAAGAATGTGTAGCTCTCTGGAGAGGGAGGGGACCCTTTCCCAGAGTACAGGGTTGGTCAGACAACCTTTCACCCATAGTGGAAGTGAGAACAATGAGTTTGTGACTCACACTCATGGAAGGGAGAGAATGACACAGCACACATGCAGGGCCCCATGGGAAGCCACTTGGGCTGCTGTGAATGGGGGTCAGGCTCTGCAATGTCAAGGGGTGATGGCCAAGGTTTCTGTCTACGGCCTGGATTATGTCTGTAAGCTCTTCTGGGGGTGAGCAGTGGGCTAGAGACCCAACCAGGTACTTCTGGATGAGCAGGGACAGGTGACCAGTCCTTTGAAGGGAAGTGCCTATGAGGAGGCAGGGGCACTTGTGTCTGAGCTGTTCAAAACTCCCAAACCCAATTGGGATTCATGGAATCCTTCAACACTGAGCATTGATTTTAGGACTTATGTCATGCGGGCGGCCCTTCCTACGCAAGACCTGGAACCGTGAGTCGGATAAACCTTGCCAGCTGGAAACGGTGTTGCCAGCTGTTCGGTTGCAGCGACACGGCAAGACATTAACGCGCTGGCCTGAACCCACAGTACTCAGGGTCTTGAATAGCAAGGCGTCAAGTGGGAGACAAAGGTGTCAAAGAGAGATAAGAAATAAAGAGGACAAGAGATAAAGGAGACAAAAGCAGTAACTGGGACCTCTTGAGTTGATGACTTAAGCCAAGAATGTTTATTAAGAAACACAGCAGCCTATATATTATTTGCAGCCGTGAGGCGTGGGGGGATGGTTAAGACCAGCAGAGAGCTAATTCAAATAATGCTGGCAAAGACAACACGGGATACCCCAGACACAGCTGTCTTAGAACTGACTGATAACCACAACTCAGGGAGATAAACTAATACCTTGAGTTCTCCGAGGCACTGGCTCTAGCCATAGACTGATCTTCCCAAGTCCACTCCTGGACAAGGACACAGAACTTAAGTTCCCTTTGTCCCTCTGAGAAAGTCATGGGTCAGTCTGGCTTTCCACAAAGTACAAACCAAATAAGAGACTTTATGGACTCAATTAAGCTGTATATTGAAAGCAGGTGCCATTACTGAGCTAGCCCAGCCTGAGGGTTGGGAGAAGGGCTGGGTTGGGTCACGTGGAGACACTTCGGCCTGGATTCCCTGTGAAATACCTTGGAGGACAGATTTGGAAAGAGCAACTTCTTCTGCACATAAAAATAATACTGTTTTGAGGAATGTTTTCACGGAGTGTCCAGCCTTTTACACGGTTCCATCGCTTCTGGTTTCATTGTTTCAGGAAAAAGTCAGTCAGTATTTATGTGATGGTTTTCCTGGCCAGTTTTAAGAATTTTCTTAACTATCATTTTCCAGCAATTTGATGGATGTTTTTTCTTTGAATTTATCTTCCTTAAAGTTATTTGAGTTTCTGGTATTTGTGTATTTATACCTTTTTAATGGTAGTTGGGTACATCTCCTTGCTTCGTTGTGTGTATAGTAGACTTTGATGTTCTGTGCTGTTACACAGTGTCATGGTTTGATCTGAAATGCCTCCAACAGGCTCAAGGGTTTGGACATTTAATGGACATCTGGCTTTGGAGGTTGTAGAACATATGGCAATGCCATCTTCTATTTTAGTCTGAGCCCTCTGATCCCTGGTCTGGAAGTCACCTGAAGACTTCTGTCACACACTCTTACGCCCATGGAACCACTCCATCACATTTGTCTTCTCTGCTATCGTGGACTGAAAACCTTCCTCAAACTGTGAGTCAAAATGAACATTTACTCCCTGGAGTTGCTTCTGTCAATATGTTATCACTCCAAAGGGGAGATTAACTCCTGTGAGACTTAATATGGAGATAAGTGTTGTGATTAAACTTGACCTCACGGCCACTTGTCTAAGAACGGCGTAGAGGCGTTTGTAGATACATTAGACAAATGCTAGAATGCCGTGAGCAGAAACAAAAGGGACATTCTGGCAGGCGTTCAGAATCCCTGTCAGAAGATAGATAGAAATGATAACAGCCAAGACTTGCTCGTGAGAGTTCAGATGAGAAGGAACCTTGTCGTAATTGAGCCAGAGCTCATTTGTTTCAATTCTGCTGAAGAATTTGGACACATTCTGCCCCTGTCCTAATCAATCAAGTGAATCTGAGTTCAAAAGCTTGGACTAATTTTCTTTGGTGGAAGAAATCTCAAGACAAGATAATAATCAGGTTGTGGCGTGCCTGTTCCTGAATGCTTTTACCCAAATTTATGGCAAGAGTCCAGATCAAAAAGCAAAGCAAAAGGGTAAGAACAATGTAAAGTTTGGCAAAGGAAGGAATGCAATAATATTTAAAGTTTTACACATGACAAGGCTGGAGGAAACATCTCATTGTTAAGGAGTTTAGTGCCATTCCAAAAATCCCTCCCACTTGGCCCTCGAACAATAGAGGTGACTGACAGGCAGGATCCCACCCTCCAAATATTGCTGGGTGTGAATTTACAAATCCATCTGAAAGACTTTTCTTTAGAAAGAAGAGTTGCTACAAAGGGAGTAGCTGACAGGAGAGTCCCAGGCCCTGCTGTCCAGACAGAGCCGTGCTAGCAAACAGTTCCCAGGTTCAGTTGTGCAGGCACGTGCGGTTCATGGTAGCAGTGGTCCCAGAGATCATGGCTCCATATTATTCTGGCAGCAGACCAATGCCTTGTTCATATTATAAAGCACAGCATGTAAGAGTCGTGGGGCTATGGAGGCTTGCTCCAAGTTTCCAGGGGTAAAGCCCGTGAGACCAGGCAGGTGTCTCTGAAGAGAGGCCCCAAGGAGCTAATAAGGGGGCTGGTGATGGGGAAATGTAAGTCACAGCCTGCCACCCACAGTTAGGTAGGTCCCTCCAGCCTCAAGGAAGGAATATATCCACGGGCCCTCTCTCCTTCACCCTGCCATTTCTCTTTTGCGTTGCCATGATTCCCTGGCTTCTGTTCTCTGTGTCCTATTTACAGAGTCCTTCTTCAGAGTAGCTCGCTGTGGGCATCTCAGTGCCGGGCATTATCTGAGAGAATGCAAACTATTCCCATTGGAGAGAATGCCCATCTTCAGGGCTGATAAAAAAAAAAAAAAAAGTGCCTGTTGCGACTGCTCCTTTGGGCCCTGCCAACTAGTCTCTATGGACCACAGTTTTTGAGGCTGGCAGGAAACAAGGGGAGGCAGGGTGTGCCCTGCATCAGGAGTGCAAACTAGGTACCCTGGAGGTGCCTCACACAGTCCTGTGAGATGTTCCCTGCTCCCTCCCCCAAAGGCTCTTTGATGGAATGTTCTTTTCCCAATAGCCTTACTCTGAATATTTTTTTAAAAACCAGATGTTTGTATGATAGCCACAAACTTTATCCAGGGTAACCCATGGCTAATCCCTTCCTGGGTGTGACCTGAGGGTGTTCATCCCCAGCTGCACACGTGGCCCTTTCCCCCATGTCAATAGCCTGGCAAGACCCTGCTTCCTGATGCAGGCCGGAGAGAGCTGTGCTTATGGGGCCCAGCCTGACCCAACGTGAAAGCCTTGTGTGGCTCCAGGCCTCCACGTGGCGCTGTCAGCTCTTCTGCACAAAGGATCCAGAGGGCTGGGGCCGCTGGTGGGGGGTGGTTATCAGGGCCCATTGAGCAAACAGACAGGAGCCAATAAAACACCAGCCAGTGGCAACTGGGCATTCTGCAGACTTCCCAGGAACAGTGGAGTAGACATGAGACCTCGAGGTATCCCTCTCCTGGCAGTGGTCCTTGTCTTGGGGCTGTGTGCTCTGGTGGAGGGCCAGAAACCTTGTAAGTAGAAGTTTGTGGGTGTCCCCGTGGGTGGGAGGTGGATCTGCATGCGTCTGCATGAGTGGTGGGCTGGGGTTCATCCATCACCTGTACTAGGTGGGGCTTTTCCATATGTTCTCTCAAAGGACAAAGGCAGGGTGACAGCATGCAAGGAGCTAAATAGCACCCTACAGTCTGGGTGCTGCTGTGTGAAGTGCACGCAGCGACCCTTATTCAGAAGGGCCATGTCAACAGGTGTCAGCCTGGTTAGAAGGACAGAAGGACCTGCTGCCCTGGGCCATCTTGGTCACATTCTACCTTGATCTTTGCCCAGGTCCACAAGGTCATCATTTTTACAGAAGGTTTGTGTGACCTTGTTTCTTTCTTTCATTTTTTTTTTAAACAAATGAAGCTGTTTCAACAAAAGTCTGTGGTTTCCTCAAGAGGACATCAGACATGGGAAAATAAGATTCCACGTCACTCCTTTGGTCATTAGATTTTGGAAGGTCCCTGAGGTCCCAGAGCAGGTTGGGGCAAGCATATAGCACCCCGGGTAGGACTAACCATGAATGGATCTGTCCACAGCTGCCTGCCAGTGCTCCAGGATGACACCGGAGAACAGAAAGAACTGTGGCTTCCCAGGCATCACCAGCGACGAGTGCTTTGATAATGGTTGTTGCTTTGACTCCAGCGTCGGTGGGGTCCCCTGGTGTTTCCACCCACTTCCAAACCAAGGTAAATTTGGTGATCGGGACCTCTTTCCAGCTGTCAGCTTAGCACCGGTCCCTGGGCAAAGTCTAGAGCAAGTATTAGGAAGTCAGGCTGTTTGTCTAGACTAGCCCAGGCTTACCAAAAAGAAGCCGTAGCATCTCTTCTGTACCTCTCCCCCTCCCCCACCCCACGCCCTGCCCTGCATCTACACTTGCCTGTGAGCAGACCCAAGTGCCCCCACCCCCGCCAGATTTAAAACCATAATTCTAAAGAAACTTCCGAAGGGAAATGGGGTCCTCAGCTGAGATGGCCTTGCCATTCCTGCAAACAGACCTCAGACGTTAAGAAGGGCATTGAGGCTTCTGGCAGCTTTTTTTGGAATGTGTTCTAAGCCAAGCCAAACTGAATACAGCATGCACGAGGCTAGCGGTGTGTGTGCCCACCACAGGCATGGCCCTTGCCCTTGGGACACACTCATGGTGGGGAATTTCCTCCCCAGTGTCCAGTGTACTTTAAAGGAAAACCAGGTAGGTGGGTGCAAGATCCCTTTCTGGATCAGTGTCCTCAAGCCTCCTTCTGGTTCAGTGGTCTGCTTACAATTCACAGAGCTGAACACTGAGTCCGGAAAGGGTGACATGGTTTTTCCCGAGGTTCCGGTTCTGCAGATGTTCCCACCTGTGGGAAGGACAGCCAGTCCCTAGCTATTACTGTCCTGAGAGATACCAACCCAAGGGGCTTCTCGGGACACATGGAGGCTGCAAATCCAATGTCTCAGGGAAGCCGGGACTGGTGGCCCTCAGTCAGCCTGACAGCCTTGCATGCCGTTCTCCCGAGAGCAGCAGAGGAGCAGTGTGTCATGGAAGTGTCAGCCCGCAAGGATTGTGGGTACCCGGGTATCAGCCCCGAGGAGTGTGCCTCTAGAAAGTGCTGCTTCTCCGACCTGGTCTTCGAGGTGCCCTGGTGTTTCTTCCCACAGTCTGTGGAAGGTAAATGGTTGCAGGTGGGAGCCCACTCGGGGTCTGGCATGAGCCGCTCCCAACCACTCCCACCTGCTGGGAGCCCCTCCCGTGTATGTGCGTGTGTTCACAGGTGTGTGGAGGCCAGAGTTAGCCCCTCTCCACGATAGCTTTTGAGGCGGGGTCTCTCTTTAGAGTTTGCTGAGGCGAGACTGGCTGGGCAGTGAGCTCCAAGCACTGTCTATCATCTCCACCCCGCCCACTCCCAACACGAGGGTTATAGACATGCCCCACCACACCGGCCTGTTTTTGTGGGTTCTGGGGATCCAAACTCAGACACTCAAGCACGTGCAGTCGGCGTTTCACTGATTGAGCCTTCCCCCTCTCCCGCCCCCAGCGGTCGGTTGTGTGGCCACACATGCTGGTCAGCAGGTCCTCCTGAGAAATTGCTCGTGGTTTGGGGAGAACAGGTCTGCAGAGAACGCTGAGGCTTGGGTGTCATTCTTGTCCCACTCTGTGCTCCCTCCGAACCATCCACACTTCTGAGCGCAGGCCCTCGGGGCCCCTTGGCATGCTTACTGACCCCCCTGTTTCTCCACCTCTAGACTGTCATTACTGAGAGCTGAGAGGTACTGCTGCCCAGCCGCTGCTTCCCTGGGAGCTGCAAGCCAGAAGAAGAAAGTCTCAATTGGACTCCATCAATTTCTGGGTTTTCTTAAACCATCCTGACCCTGTGCCTAGCTGTGGCTAGGTTCAGCATTTTTCCCAATAAAGAAAACCTTTTAAACCTGGCGAATTGTATTTGGGTTTCATCGAGGCAAATGTATGAGGGCAGTGTGTATGTGTGTGTGTGAGTATGTGCAGGAGTGTGTGTGTGTGTGCTTGGGTGGGAATACACGGTGTGTACATGGATATGTGTACACACCATCCATGCGTGTGCTTATGTGTGTGCACAAGTGTGCATGCTTGTGACTATGTTGGTGTGTGCATGTGTGAGCGACAGTGTGTGAAGGTGTGCATAGGCACACGAGTCGGAGGCCGTTTTAACACCCTTTCATGCCCTCTGGGAGCAGCAAGCCACTGAACACTGCTAGGGCACTCCATGCGGGCGTAAGAATCCATGGTGCTATGGTTTTCCACACTCGGGTCTCTTTACAGAGCTCAGTGGACTCTGACGTCAGACCCTGTAGGAGTAACGCATGATCTCTAATTACAGTTCCCCAAACCCTTCACTTTTACCAAATGCTTAGCAAGCTGCTCACTTTTGACATGGTTGACTGTCCACTGACTGCCTCCTCTTCCTGATGTGTGTTACGTATTTTTCTTCTGGCCAACAAACCTCTCTGCTGACGCAAATCAGACCAAATTAAAAGACGCCCATGTTTAATGAATGACAATACTCCTGGGTGGCCCGGGGAAAACATGGAGAGGGGAAGATAGAGAAGGGGAGACCATGGGTAACCCGGAGACCATGTGTTCATTCTCTGGGGGACAGTTTAAACAACCTGTGGGAGTGGTCTTGACCTTCCCTGAGGAAGGGTCACCATTTGGCAGGCTTTCTCAGAGGTGGAGTTTGGACTGAGGCAACTCCCAGGGAAGTAAGCTTATGCCAGGAACTGGGGTGAAACCTCCAGCCAAAAAATCCCGATTTTGTGTATAAAGGGGTGCCAGAGGGGGAAAAAACAACAACAACAACAACAAAAACAGCCTCTCTTTCCCTTTAACCCCGCCCCCTCAAATGTTCTCAATCCCTCAGTGGCGTCTGCCTTCTCTGCCTGTCCTTCTGTGTCACTGCCTTCTGAGGTCTCCACTGTGTCTGAGATCCCATTGGGTATCTCTGAGAAGTAGCAAAGGTGGTGGTGCCTGGTGGTCTCACAGCCGTTAGTCTGATAAGAAGCAAATGAACAAGGGGTTTGAGAGCCTCAGTTCACCTGCCCTGGCTCTGTGGGTCTGGATTTGCCCTTGTGATCCTTCTTCCTGGTCACAGCCCCCCTTTGCCCTTCAATACTGTCCGTTGTCACCCTTTCTAGCTCCTCTCGCTTCCCCAGACCCCCGTGCCTGTGGAAACAGCCCTAGGAAGGAGTCCCCGCTGTCCACGGGACAACTCCGACTTCCAGGTTAGTCTTAAAGATTGGGAAAGGAGAATCACCTTGCTGCGCAGCTGTGCTGGAAGTGACCCGCCCCACCCCCACTGGGCCTCCTAGAGGCTCCGAGGACAGGACACAGTTCGCAGTCATAACTGCCAGGTTTTCCCCCAAAGAGTCATGGCCAGTTACCCCCATATTTATTTATTTATTTATTGCTCAGCACTCAGTAATTGTTTGATATTCATGTAGCACAATAAAAAAAAAAAAAGCTGAAGGGCAGGTTCTGCCTGGTCTGTCCCACTTCGCAACCACCGTTCTTTGGTGCCCTCTGCTGGCCATTTCAGGGAGCAGCCTGCCTCCAACCCAGTGCCTTTTTACTAGGGGAACTCATAAGGGTAATAGTTATACCATGCAGTTTTATCTAAAATCAGATGTTTTAATATGTGAGTCATGCGCATTTAAGAAAGCACCAGTGGTGGGGTGGGGTGGCGCACGTCTTTAAACCCCATCACTCGAGAGGCAGAGGCAGGCAGATCTCTGAGTTCGAGACCAAGCCTGGTCTACAGAGCAAGTTCCAAGACAGCCAAGGCTACAGAGAGAAACCTTGTCTCAAAAACAAAACTAATAAAAATTAAGTAAATTCAGCAAGTTCTACAAATGCACACAATTGTGTAAATATTATTTTAGTCAAGAATAGACTGTCATTTTTGCCCTCCCTCGGCTCCCGCCCCAAATATCTTGCTGTCCTTTGTCTACTGCCTGCCCCTCCAAGAACCAAATAATCAACTTGTTTTCTCCCTGACTCCACCTCTTTCAGAGCTTCCTGTCCTTGTATCCTGCTGTGTGACTGCTCTTTCTCACAGTTGTTCCCTCATTAGAAAGGAAGCTGCCAGGATCCCCTGGTCGAATCTTTGGACTTACTTTGGTAAACTGATCTCTAGGATAAATGCCCATCATTTCTTGGGGTATGTTGAACTTTATCAGTCAGGACGGGGGAAGTTGCGCCATTTCTCCTGCCCATCACCAATGGGTGAGGGGACCGTATGCTCTCTGTGTTCACCCAGCCCTCGGTGTTATCAGTATGTGTGGCAGGACAGCCCCCTTTTATCTTAACAAACTTTTCTCAATTAGCAAATGGTGTTGAACATTGCGTGACCTTATTTTGTTTGTTTGTTTGTTTTTAGGGGGTTTGTGTTTAGCAGTAGTCTGGTAGTCCAGATAGTTCATTTTTACTTTCTTAACATTAAAAACTTTATTTTTATTTTGGTCATGCACATACCAGGGCAGGTATGTGGAGTTCAGGGGGGCACACTTAGGGGAGTTGGCTCTCGCCTTCTGTCATCTGGGCCCTGGGGATTGAACTGAGGTCCTCAGGCTTGGCAGCAAGCGCCTTTCCCGACTGAGCTGTCTTGCCAGGCCCAGCTTTTTAATCAGGTGCTTAGTTGCTTTGCTGTCCGTGTTCTTACATCCCGCATACAGCTCCTCTCTCAGAGCTGCGTGTGGTGGCTCTCCCTGGAATCCCTGTACCTGACGGGATGAGGATGGGAGGTGGCTGCAGAGCAAGTTCCAGGCCAGGCCTACACCCCTGAAACAAACAAGTCTCCTATCACTGTGTGCTGAGCAGATATTTTCTTCTGGTCTATGATTGGTCCTTCTGTTTACTTTGGCACTCTCTGACAAAGAATAAATCCTAATTTTGATGAAATCCAGGTGTGTGTGTGTGTGTGTGTGTGTGTGCGTGTGTGTGTGTGTGTGTGTGTGTGTGACTCACTCTCTGTGTCCTGCCTAATAACCTCTGCCTAACCCAAGGCACAAACACTTCCTGTTACATTTTCTTCTGGAAGATCCATGACTTCAATGCCCAGATCTCCCGTGTGACACCACTTGGGGAGACCTGTGGGTTTTTCTGTCATTTCCTCCAGAACAGCCATTGTAGCGTGAGGACTACTTGGTGTGTGGAGCCCTTTCAGGACTCCCAGATGCTCTAAGCATGGGGACTCTGACGGGCTTGCTTCTCAGAACGTCTGCCCTGCATCCTTCGGCCTAAGTCTCTGCTGGGTGATCTCATGGAGCTGTTGTCTTCTGAGGAATGTGTCCATCTCACCCAATTCTTTTGTTTTCGGGGTTACTACTGTCGTATTGGGTAGGGGTCACATGTGCCATGGCATGGACACAGAGGTCAGAGGGCAAGACTGTGGATCCCTGCCTCCTCCACCTTACATACAGATTCCAGGGATGGAACTCAGATGGCCCGGCTTGAGTGGCAAGTGCCTTTACGCCCTGAGCCTTCTCACTGATTTGTTGTTTTAAATGTCAGCAGTTCCTGGTTTGGTCAAGCCTGATCATAAAGTGACGGTAACATTTCCACTTGACAGAATTTGCTGTTTTCTTTGGAAACAAATACACCGTTAAATGCTGCTAATGAAGAGGTTGTGTTATTTCAGGATTAGAGCCTCATATACGTAACCATACGCTCGGCTTTCTGATTATACTCTGTAAATATGTAAATAGGTTTTGTCCACTTAGCCTGTCTTATCTCAATGGTGCTTCCTCTGCCGATGGTGCTCTTGGGCCATTTCTGTTCCAACCCCATGGTTCCTGGACTACAGGGCAGATGGGCTTTCTCCAGCTCCCACAGCAGGACGCTCAGTGCTGCTCCACCATCTCTGTAGACTGTAACATATAACGGCCCTCTTTGTCATGTTTCATGCTGCGTCTGCTTGACTTCTGTCTTGTCTGATATTAAAATCACAGCCCCTACTCCCAGCTCTGAGGCCCGGAAGCTAAACCACCGCTGGTCATTGAATGTTTTAAAAACCTTGCTCGGTACCCACTGAATTCCATTCAATCGGCGTAACTTGGGCGGAGCAGAGAGGGCAGGAAACACACAAGACCCAGTGAGGGGAACGACAGTAGCCATTCTGTTAGTCAAACCAAAGAGGTGCCTAGAATTTTCCAACAGGCCTGTACTCCAGCAAATTGACTTAAAACTCTGCTACAGCATAACACAGTGTCTCCAGGAAGAAAAATAGGATCCGGTTCTAACATTTTTTTGATGAAATACCTTAGTACTCCTTTTGTTCCACTTTATGCTGTGCCAAAAGTCCCTGTGCGTGACTTTAGGGGATTCCTGCAGGGTTTGAAGATCTTTTGTGGGAGGAATGCCAGGTCAGGAAGGGTAGACACCCTGGCTCCTCATGCTCCCCAGTCCTTATCACTCAGAAGCCTCCTAATGGCCCACGAGTTACTTATCAACTCTTCTGCTTTATGGTTGCATTGTTTGCCATGTGCCCGGGCACACAAGAGTATCAACTATAATCTAAATCTAAATATATTATAATATAATCTAAATGGCCCTCATAGCAGCAGAGGGAGCCAGTCCAGGATCCTGCCTGCTGCTGCTTTGCCAGGGGCTGTTAAGACAGAACGGCAGGCAACTGCACAGCCTTGGAGACTACCTTCTAATCCCCCAGGAGCCCCACGGCTGCCCAGACAGTCAATCGCTGATAGCTAATGTCTGCCTCGACAGTACCACAGGGGCACACACTTCTGATGTGTGTGCTTTGGGCCAGGCATCAATGTTTATTAGCCAAGTGTATTTCTTCTGTCCACTGTACCTCCTGCAAAGGCTACCCTCTGTCTTGTGGGTCACTAGGGAGGTGAGCCGGGAGCATCTCCCCCATTAGATGATGCTAGGGAGAGAAC